ATTCAGCGGTTACTGCCTCAGTCCTTCAGGTCTGGCCCACGTGCAGTGCCTTACTCCACAGTGGCTCCCCTGGATGCTTTAGGTATCCAGAGAGACTCACTCTGACCTTGGCATTCTTCCAAGCCCTGTAGAAGACCCAACTACTATACACATGCTCCACCTTGTATATTTCTAGCCCCCACAACACTTCAACTCCAAAACACCCCATAAGTGCTTCCACACATCTTGACAAATTATTTCTGGGTTAATTGAATTAAAAGGTATGTGGGAACATTTTCTTAGAGCAATCAGAACAGGTTGGGTAAGGTGGGGGACACAACTTCCTACTTTGGAGCCCACACACTTTCACAGCCTCCATTGGATTCCTACTACCTTCCAGAGCTACAGCATCTCATTGAGGAGCTGGCTTACTTCCTGGAAGCCATAGCACCAGAGATTCATGAGATTGACATCTGTACTTTATGCAAAAGGTTATGGAGAGTCTGAGTCCTGCTAGCTGATATGTGCAGTTGAGAAACCTGGTTCCCCCCCCCCCCTTCCTTCCCTAAAATGTTGAACTGTTGAGCTCAGTTTAGACCACACAGGGAGCTCTCAGCTGACACAAAGGCTACAGTCCAACAAGTGATTTCATTCTCACTAATGAACTGATGTAGGGAATATTTAACCTTGACAAATGTGCCTGAATTACTGCATTGAAACGCTATTGAAATCTCTGTAGATAGTTGAGTAAGCCAGAGAACAAATGTATTTGGATAGGTTGGAAAATTTGTCTATCCATCCATCCATCCATCCATCCATCCATCCATCCATCCATCAATGGGCATATTAAAAGTTGATCTTTTAAATATTAATATTTATGGACCTTTGAAAGAAGGATCTGAGTGTTTAGAGGCCTTTGACAAGGTTCAATGTTCTTTCAGTATATTTTCATTGTGCTCTAAAAAGTCCAGCCTTTTATTATCATGTCTGGTTTCCATGCAAGCTCTTTGTTTTTCTTGATGTGGAAGAACTTGTTATCTGTCCACTTATATCTACTCAGGTGCCTTTATTTTATGGTTAATGGTATTGGGATATTGGAGAGAGGGAGATAGATAGATAGATACAGCACAACTTCCAAAGGTAACATTTCAGAAGGCAGTGAAGACAGGGTTTGTTTAAATTTCTGTGGTAGGGGGTGGGTAGACTTAGGGAGTAGAGGGAGGAGTGAGGATAGATCTGTCCCTGACTCCTCAGAGGAACCACATATTGAGGAGGAGTAGGAAAGCTGCTCAGATGCCCAGTTCCTGTGCCATGAATGTGACTGGCACAATGGGTCATGGTTATGGAGCCCATAGAACCAGAGGACTCAGAAGTGGAATCAGCCTTACCTTCTAGAACAAAACATGGAAGAGCCATTTTAACCAAGGGCAGATAAGGCTTTTTTCCAAACATTTTCTAGTGTTTTCTTCAAACCCAGTGATTTATTTATTTATTTATTTACTTATTTTTAAGTAAAATTCAAGCACTACTATTTCAGTTTCAGAAATGCCAGCTGGATATGTTTTCCATCCCTCCTCCTGCCTGCCTGTCTGTCTTCTGTTTCATGTTTGGTTGGCAGGGATTTATTTATGTGGTAGCTTTGAATATGATAAGAGTGGGTGTGGAACACATTTTCTTCAGGCTATTTTTTCTTTCTTTCTCTCTCTCTCTTTCTCCCTCTCTCCCTTCCTTTCTCTCTTCCTCTCTTTATTCCTCCCCTCTCTCTACTTCTGTAACCCAGAATGTATTGGAACTCATGGAAGTCCTCCTTCCTCAGTGTCCTGAGTGCTGTGATTTACAGGCATTCTCGGATCATTTTCTTCTGCTCTTTTGTGTTTCTTGGCATGGATGGTGTGGAAGGCAGTGATTCAGCATTATTTGTGTTCTCTTGTAGAAGAAGAAACCCTAATTTTTAGTTGAATATTGACCAGATCCCATCTGCAGCCTGCTGTGGCCCATGGTTACAGGTTCCATACCATGTCTTTCATTTTCTGTAGCTAGACTTCAGACATAACAGCAAGCCTTCTTGGATATGCAGATGAATGTAATACCACAGGACTGGTAGTCCTGTCTTGCTTGGTTCTTGGATAGCTTCATGGGGTAATCACTATCCTATCAGCCTTGATTGCCTAACCTAGGTCATTCATAGAAGAAAATGAATTTAGATTTGGTTAAAGCATGATAAATTTGGGCCTTAGTTATGGAGCTAAAGTTGAAGTAACAGCATGTGATAACATCAAGAACTTGTTCAGTAGGGCCAGAAAAGATGCTGACTTGGAGGTGCAAGCATCAGCACCATCTCTGAAAGGATTAAGGATGTAGCCACTCCTAAAGAGAGAATGCAAGCCCTGTGTGAGGTACAACACCCAGAAATATACCAGGAAAAAGACAGTTGCTCTGTGTCATAACCCAGCAAAAAATCAAATGCACTGGAAGTGATTGCAACTCTAATTCAGCAGATTTTTTTTTTTCTGACCTCAGGGTTAGTTTGATGTTTAGTGAGATTCAGATTTTTAAAAGTAAAGATAACATACTTCCTGATTGCTTCAAGAAGACACCAAGGCTGGGGAGATGGCTCATCAGTAAAATATTTGCCATTCAAGCATGAGGACCTGAGTACAGGGCTCTAGAATACATTAAAAAGAAAAAAGAAAAGAAAAGAAAAAAAGCCAGGCATACTTTTGTAATTCCAACACTATGGATAGGGGATCCCTGGGGCTTGTCCAGCCAAATCAGTGAACTTCAGGTCCTGGTAAGAGACCTTGCCTCCAAAACCAGAAGGTGGAGAGTGTTTGGAGAGGGTGCCTAGTGTCATCCTTATGCTAGTTCATGTACATAAACACTACACACATGCACAAAATAGAAAAAAGTATATAAAAATACACTGGGGAACACAATACTTTTCTGTTAGAGTGAGAAATTTGTAAAATCAGAGATTTGTGTTAACTCAAAAGGGCTGAACTCCAGGCACTGAACTCTATACAGATGACAGACACAGGGGGAGGAACACAACTCATATTTCTACCTCCCAGAGCCCATGGGAATTAATAAGTGTTATTCCATAGATGCTACAATGTATGGAAACAGAGGTTTTCAGAATTCCTTCCGTAAGACCCTTAGGGTTTACAGTAATCCTTGCTCTGCCTGCCAAGCACATTTGGGTTCTGTATATCACAAAAGTTAAATTCTCTAGGCAAAGATGAAGCAGCTTTTGCTTGGACTGTATGTCTCAATTCATCAATAGAATTGGGACTCAGTAGAGCCACCCACACCATGAGAGACGAATGGGGGTTTTGGCCAGTGCAGAGGATTCACTGGGTTTGTGCCCAGCACCCTCCCACTCAGTATGCATCTGGAAGCTCTCCTTTGCTTTCAGCCCAGCATGTCTGTGTGCAAGGAAGGGCCAGAGTCTGTGCTGGAAGCACAGGGGCGCATATCAATCACTCTGCTGCCCATTGGCACAGATACACCATCCCTTTGTTCAGTCACCACGCAGGCCTTGCCTGGGCCAGAAAAGAGGGTGCACTAGCACACTGATGGCCTTATACAGTTCAAGGAGAACTGACATTTGTGAAGTATTTAACAGTCCATAGTCTCCTAGGTCATTTTTTTTTTTTTATATTCTAAACACTGCATTTGTAAGGCTTGTTTATATTGCTGTGTTCTGACCTTTCAACCATGTCTTTGATAATCAGCAAACATGTGTGGGACTTCTGTCCTGAATCCAGGAGGAATCCTCACCTCTGGAGACTCTCAATGTGATGTTGTTAGATGCAAAAAACGTTGGAGACCCCCCTCCATAGAGCTCTACCCATGAGAGTGTTTCCTTGCCCCTATTTCCTGTCTGTTTAAATATCACTTTTTTTTGTTTGTTTGTTTTGAAACAGGGTCTTACTATATAGAGTAGACTGGCCTAGAACTTTGTAGACTAGGCTGTCCTTGAGTTCACAGAGATTCATCTACCTCTGCCTCACAAGTGATGAGATTAAAGGCATGTGTCAACAAACTCAGCCTAAATTTCATTTTTAATGCTACAAATTGAGATTCAGAAGAATATCCTTAGTATACAGTTGATATCTCTGCCCCCTTCCTTTGGTAATCACCAGACTAGTGCATGCTAGGCAAGCAGGCTAGTGCCATGCCATACTCTAGAGCAGCAGTTCCCAACCTGTGGGTCATAACCCCCTTGGGGATACAGGGGTCACATCAGATATCCTGCTTATCAGATATTTACACACTAGCCTGTTTTACAGAGCCAGTTCCAGGACTGGCTCTGTAGCTACTGAGGAACATTGGTGGTGTTCATAGTAGTAGTTATAGTTGTGAAGTAGCAAAGAAATAATTTTATGGTTTTGGGGCTACAACATGAGGAACTGTATTAAAGGATCACAGAATTAGGAAGGTTGAGAACCACTCAGTCCTCTGCATTGCTTGTCTTCAATTCTTTTTTACTGGCTAACCATCTTTCTGCATACCTTTAAGGTATTGTATTCATACTTCTGTTTTTGTACCTGATGACCTCACCACCCTTTTGCTTATGATGGAAGCAAAGACTTTCCCACCAAATATGACCAGGTCTCTCTCATGAAGAGACTGGGATTGGCCTTGCCCACCCCAAAAGCTCTTCCTATCCCTGTCCTCTCCCAGGCATGGCTCACACATCAGGTTTCCCTTGGGCATCCTGGAATGTTGCTTTTGTCTGTTCCTTTCAGGGATTATATAATCCAACTTTGACCAATTCTTACTCTGGGGGCCACTGGTTCCTCAGTGTCTCTTTTCTCCAATGTACATGTCCCTCACTGAGTTTACGCTCCAAGTCCCTCATGAATGAATCTGTGTAATGTCACTGTGAGCATCTCAAGTTCATGCAGTGTGACTTCCCTGCATGGAAACTGGACACAAACTTGTGCCCACCACAAGACCTAGTGTAATCCCAGCATTATTTTGTTCTCAACTTCTGCCCCGGCCCCCGACCCACTCACCAGCCATGGAAGACACGACGACAATGCTGCCATTGTTCTGCTTCAGCATGGGCAAGGCAGCCACACTCATAACTACGTAGCTGATGAAGTTGACCTCCATGGCTTTGCGCAAAGCATGGATATCATCATGGAAGAAACCCATAGGGGTATAAGTGATGTGGTTGAGAATGAGCATGTCCAGGCCGCCTGCAAAGAGATAGCTGGGTTGAGAGAGACCACTCAGAGTCAGTCCTGTTCCCGTCTGCCTCCTGAACACTCTAAGCCCAGAGGAGGGGAAGGGAGAGGGAGCCTCACCCATGAGCTTTCCTGCTTTGAGAACAAATTGCTCTGCAAATGTCATATCTTCCATGGTGCCAGCAATGTACTGAGCAGAGGCTGCTCCGAGTTCAAGGCAGCGGGATACCACCTGCAGAGACACAGCATAAATGGTGACCATCTTAGCTTAGCAGTTTTGGTGTAACTGGGGCTTAAATGAGAGTTTGTTTGTTCACAGAGCTGTTTAGATAAGAAACTCTCTCTCTCTCTCTCTCTCTCTCTCTCTCTCTCTCTCTCTCTCTCTCTCTCTCTGTGTATGCCTAAAAGCAGCAGTTTTATATTCCTGTATTTGTGCCCGTATATGAGATTGCAGGCCATGGGGGAGGAGGGCAAGCCTCTGTGTATATGTGACAGATTATAAGCTGGGCACAGGAAGGCACACCTATCAGTGGGTACAGTACGCTTACCTTCTGGAGACCTTCCTCTGACCTCGCAGTCAATACCAAATGGGCTCCCATTTCTGACAGATGATACGCCATTTCTCTTCCGATCCCTTTGCTGGCCCCAGTGACAATCACTTTCTTCCCTTGGAGCATTTCTGGGAACCACAAAGGCTATGAGTGTCCCCAAAGCCATGTTTCACCATCCAGACTTAAAGGTTGTGAGCCCAGATCAGTTTGCCTCATGTTGTAAACCACCGAAGTGACAGTTGGAGTTGTTCATACACAGGCTCTTAAGATGGGTCTGGCCTGGATGTCCAGAGCTGAGCCTTCCTGCCAGCATTCCTAAAAACCTCCACGTGCAAAGATCACAGAGACAAGGCCAGTTTGACTAAACTGTCTGAGTTGAACACTTTTGGCATGATCTAATTTTGCTAAATTGAAAAGGGATTTTAAAAAAGCATTACAAAATGAGTTCAGAGAAGCATCAACCCTTCTACTTGGTCATCAACCTTATAGCCCTTTTTAGTTTTTATTCTGGCCTCTCAGCCATCAATCCAGGGAGCACAGCTATCTGGTTGAGCCATGGGTCTGGGAATTACCTTTACTTCTGTAGATCTGAAATTGCTTTCCATGTTGGGTGCCAAGCAAAGCATGGCCTACTTGGCTGTGTGGCTTACCCCTCTCTGTCTCCTCCTGCCCATAGCTTGTAGCTGGAGGGTACAGAGTTACAGACCCAAATTAAGGTTCTCTCTTTCTCAGTGACTTAGGGATCAGGAGGATAGTTAGATCCTTAGGAATATTCCAGCACCCCCATGTTTTAAGCCTGCTCCTCTAAAGGAGACAAATTGATACTCACCTGGTCTGAACTCTTCTTTTGTAGAATAGTAGTAGGCCAAGAAGAGCACCAGAATGGGGAGGAGGTATTTTTTCATAAACGCCATCAGACAGGAGCCTGGCTCAGGAAGCCCTGTAGGACACACAGACAAAAACCTGCAGAGCTTTCTACAACTTCCCAGGCAGGCAGTAGCCTCTGAATTGTGACATCAGGGACGGGGGAGGCTGGAGTAGTCTCAGGCAGCACTAGCCAACTTCCTTGTCAGAGCGGCGATTGGCTTTGGGTGGGATCCCATTCGTTCCTGGCAGCCTGCGTGGTGGATTTCATAATGGACAATGTTTACTCCATTTCATTGAGTAAGAGGCGACTTCCAGATGGCCAGGCTCATGACTGAGCAGGGCTGGGTTCCTGAGCATGTCCTACTGATATCCTCTGCACACAGCATCAGTGGCCTTGCAAGAGTGGTTTTGAGAGAGAGAAGAGAAGGAGAGAGAGAGAATAGAGAGGCAGAGAGGAGAGAGGGGAAAGAGAGAGAGGGAAAGAGGAGAGAGGGAAGAGACAGAGGGGGAGAGAGGGACAAGAGATAGAAGAGAGGGAAGAGAGGAAGGGAGAGAGAGAGGAGAGAGGGGAAAGGGAAGAGAGAGGGGGAGAGAATGTACATAAGAGCTCCTAAGAATGTGGGACTTTGCGGGAAATGTGAGTACTACCAAACAGAAACAAACCCAAGCCAAATCTCCTCCCCCTTCCCCCACCAGTCAGAAGCCAAATCTCACCCTCGGCCCCACTACCCAGTCGGAAGCTATTAAAAATAACAGATCAAAACAACAAAATAAGCTCAAGGAAAAATGTGCATGTCTTAGGAGGGAAACAAAACAAAACAAAAAACCCACAAAAACCTAAAGCAAACAAGCCATAGTGAAGCTCAATGAAAAAGCATTAATTACAACATCAAAGAGAAGATACAACCCAGCCAGATCCAGAAAATCAAGCTCAGCACAAGACTGTCTGGAAAGTGCATGGGGACTTATCCTTATTCCTTTAGTAGGGAGAAAGAAGGGACAGTGGGTGCCAAAACAGGAAGAAAGGCATGAGGTTGTTAAACTGGGTTAAGCACAAGAGGATGCTGGGAAGAGGAGACCAGTCCAGAAGAGCTAGACTACCCAGGGTGCAGCCATATTGTTCTCCTGTAAGCCACAGTGCCAACATTCTTTTTGCCTCTGCTTTGAGACTGGATCTCAATAAGTTGCCCACGCTGACCTTGAACTTGCTCTGTAGCCTCAGGCTTATGATCCTCCTGCCTCAGCCTCCTGAACAGCTGGGATTTCAGGACTGATGCCATAAGGTCCTAAGGGACCCACTGTGCTGTGTGCTTGAAGCAAAACTAGCATAGAACATCCAGGTCCCAGCCAAAAATGATGCAAGAGAAGGACCAAGAGGGGAGACACCCTATCAATAAGAATTGATTTTCATGATAAGTCAGAAAGAGCCACTGTTGTGTATCTGTAGCAAGATTCTATTAAAGAATTTAAGACTTGTCATTGTTCAGATTTTCAGTGTAAAGCTAACTATCCAAATCAGGAAAACCACCCCAGTACAAAGCAAATCCTGAACTCCGAATATGTGGAGTGGTAGGAGAGCTAGAGTGTCAAGAATGAGAATCTATCCTCTGAGCAGAACTGGGGTAGAGGGCGGGAGACACTGGAACCACTCGGAGTTCTGAGAATCCAAATTATGACCCTAAGATAGTCTCTGGAAATATCCAGTGACTTTTCACTTCCGAGGAAATAATTTAAGGCCCAAAGGAGATAAAACTACTTGTCAATAAAGGCCACAGCTGTGAGGGTCGCTTCCAGAAGACAGTAATGGTTTGAGAACAGGAGAGAGCTGGAGCCAAGGGTGCAGCAGACAAAAATAGAGAGGCTGAAATGTAAGTGGGAGCTGCAGTCAGTTGTCAGGAATGCCAGGCACAAGAGTGTTGTTAGAAAAGCCTTATGACACCAAGACACATGACAGACAGGACTTCTTTTTCTTCCCTACGGGGAGGAAATTATACCGATTTCTTAGCCTGATATGGTTAACAGTGAAGTCATTGACTTCGATGTAGAAAATAAGATAATATACCTTAAAAATGTACTTAATGAATTATAGGGAACAAGAAAGAGTTGCTTTAAAATATCATTATGCTGATACAAAAGGAAGATGAGTCAAAAAAAAAAACCCTCAGAAAAACAAGAAAGAAAAGAGAAAAGAAAGGGAGAGAATAAAAGGAGAAAGAGGTAGATGAGAGAGGGCTGTAGTTTACTACAGGAAACACAAACAAACGCTGCGAGCATGTCAGGCTGAATACAACAGGCTGAGGGCAGCAAAGTCCATGTTTGCTGCAGGGGTAACTCTGATCAGTGGGCTCAAGGCAGTGAAAGTCCAACACATTAAATGCTAAACTACAATCGGATTATCATCATCAAAGAACCTAGTAGTTTTAGTGCTGTGAAAACAGGAAAATATCTAGTGCTCTGATTTCCAAACTTAGGATAAAGGATTGTCATATTAAATGCATTAAATAGAATGGGTACATAACAATAGAGAAATATTAGCTCTTAGCAATTCCCAAACACTTGAATCTCAGAACTTCTTTACACCCCTAAAAATTATTAAAGAAGGTTTTCATTCATTCATTCATTCATTCATTCATTCATTCATTCATTCATTTATGTGTATTATCTGGTGTTTTGAGATAAGGTATTGCTATGCAACCCAGGCTGGCCTTGAATTTGTGATTCTTCTGCCTCAGCTTCCTAGAAGCTGGGGTTACAGTTGTATACCACCACATCTGGTGCTAAAGAACTGTGCGTGTGTGCATATGTCTGCCTGTTTGCATACATGTATATGTGAGCGTGGACACAGGTGCACTTGGAGGCTAGAGATTCTTCTTTAGGCACTTTACCAACTAAGCTGTCTCACAAGTCCTCAGTGTCAAAGAACTCCCACATACGTACCCCCTATTGATATCGATGCAGAAATTTAGTCAGTGTTGTTTAAAATTCAAAAACAAGACTAGCTTTTACTCACAGTACGAGCAATAATGAATGTTACATGTCTTGAAATATTTGGAAAAGTTAAACGTCTCAGTATTGTAACAGGTCCCCAGACCCTTGCACAACAGATTCTGTGATGAAAGCATATAGATACCACCTGCCAAAATGAAAACAAAGGCCTAGTCCATTAATCCATTGTTCTGGGAAAGTCTTTAAATGTACTAACCTTGCCTTTTGGCTTCTGTCATTCCGCTTCTGGCTAACTGTTCTTGTTACCTGAACTATGTCAACCTATGATAAGGCTTTTGTGCTTAAAAGCTCACCCTGAGAAAGGCTCAGTGCTACACTGGGATCCTAAATACCCAGTGTAGTCCCTGAATGGCTAATCAAGACTTTCTGTTGGTTTAAACTCATGTTCGAGCAATATTCTTTGGTGGATACCCCACAACATTTCTGGAGGTCCTACCAAGATCCCCAGAGATCAAGACCTCATGTTGTGGAATATTACTCTAACTATGTAAAGATGTGTTATGCTTGTTTATGTTGTGGAATGTTTAACTATGTAAAGGTATGTTGATTCTTTTATGTTGCATTTGTTTAAAACTAGGCAAAGATGTGTTACATTTGTTTATAATGCATTTGTTTAATTGTGTAAAGGTGTGTTGCTGTTTTACCTTGTCTGCCTAAGGACACCTGATTGTTCTAATAAAAAGCTGAACAGCTAATAGCTAGATAGTAGAGGGATATGTTGGGCTGGTGAGCAGAGAGAATAGGTAGGAGGAGGAATTTAGGTCCAATGAGAAAAGAGAATGAGAGCCAGCCAGCCAGGCATCCATCAGCCATCCAGATATGGAGTAGGTCACACAGAATGAAAGGAAGGTAAAAATACCTGGGTCAAAACATAGATGAAGAGACACAAATTAAATTAAGTTATAAGGGCAAGTATAAGATAAGGTTGAGCATTCATAACAAATAATAAGTCTGGTTGTCTAAGAAAGCCTGTTACAACCTTGAGATAGAGTGAGGAAGAGTGCGGTCAGGGTACTCCTAGGGGGTGTTCAACCTGATAATTGATACATGATAGAGATTGATAGATGGATAGATGATAGATAGATAGAAGATAGATATAGATGTAGAATAGATATAGATGATAGTTATTGATGATGAATATATAGATTGATAGATACAGATGATGGATAGATAGGTATAGATGATAGATAGATGGTAGTGATAATGGATAGACAGACAGATAGATACCATTGTTCTCTGCTTCCTGACTACACAGCTGCTTCAAGCTCTTTCTACCAGTGCATGCCCACCATGATGGAGTAGACCCTGGAGCTGTGGGCTGAACCAATCCTCCCTCCCTTAAGTTGATTCTGTCAGGGTGTTTTATCTCAGCAGCAGGAAAAGTCACTAAAACAGAATTTTGGAAGCATGGAGAAATTATGCCTTAGGTGTGGACAAAAACCATTATGGGCCATGGCTTGTGAGATCATTTCAGCTGCCTTCACCAGAGTAGAGCCCAACAGTGTGGCCACAGACAGGGCCTCAACAGGAAAAGAGGAAGTGGACACATTTCCCATGGAGGCATTTACCATATGTGGTGGTTTTAATGAATATGACCATCATGGATCCATAAGGAGTGTTACTATCAGGAGACTGGCCTTATTGGAGTAGGTGGGGATTTGTTGGAGGAAGTGTGTCACTGTGGGTGGGCTTTGAGGTTTCAGAAGCTCAAGCCAGGTCTGGTTGCTCACTCTTCCTGCTGCCTGCTGATCCAGATGCAGAACTCTCAGTTACCTCTGCAGCACTATGTCTGCCTGAATGCTGCCATGCTTCCCACCATGATGATAACAGACTGAGTCTGTGAACTGTAAACCAGTCTCAATAGTGTTTTCCTTTACAAGGGTTGCCATGGTCATGGTGTTTCTTCACAGCAATAGGAGCCCTAACTAAAACAGAAGTTGGTAGAGGGAGGGAGTTGGGTATTTCTGTGATAGGCCAGATCTTGTTTTTGTTTGGAAGAATGTAGACTTTGGGAATTTAGGTTAGGAAAGAAGCAGGATGCTTTAAGTGCTATTTAATGGGCCATCC